TATCCAAGTGACAATTTAAGGTAAACCCCTTGACCAATTTTCTACGCGGTAATTTCGCTTGCTGTCTGAGCAAATTTGGAGATGCAACGAGGAAGGCAAAAAGAAGAGTCTTGGAGCTAGGACAACGGTTCAACAGCATGAAGAGACAGCGCCAAGGAGAGGATCATTAGGAATAAAGAGAAGTCAAGAATTGAGAGTAGCCAAGCCTGTAATCAGCCTGAAAATATACCGGTATGGGTCGTGGGATGTGACATAGGCAATTAAAGGCCATTAACAGGTATCTCCATTAGAGATGCTAGGCTAAAGGCATGCTAGAGATAGGTCCCCATTCTGTGTATGTATGTGCATTTTCGACTGTATGCCTTAAGGAGAGGTGACTGGTGACTTGCCTGACCGAAAAGAGGGGGATACCATTCAATGTACACATGAACAACATTAGGATTGGGTGGAATTGTTAAATTGGGGGACAAGAGGAGTGAGCTTTGCGCAATTCAGGAGTTGAAAATGGAAGCGGTAGATTTTCTCAACGGAGTTTCCGAATTAAGTCGGACACATCGCCCCAAAATGTGATGCAATGTGAATGTGAATGGGAAAGGGGATAACTGCCTTATGTGTCTGAAGTCTAGGGAGAGTCTGGTGCCTAGACCTTGGCATCACCAGCTCTACACCCTCGAATATGACATAAACGGGAACGGGAATTGAAGGGCCACAAGCAGTCCATTTTCAGACAGCCAGAAAGGGATATTGATGTGGAAAGTGGGCCCTGCAAAAGGCACTTGGTACCGGTGGTGATAATAATTGCGCTTCACTAAACCTTTTTATAGCGACACACACTTAGGCAACATTGGAAGATACGAGAGCACAAAATTATGCGAATAGGTAGATAAGTGATATGAAATGGGGTTTAAGAGAAAGAGATGCAGTACTAGAAGGTAAAACAGAAAATAGGGGTGAGAAGTGATGTTATACAACTTTAATAAGTTATAGCTCTGTGCTGATAATGGCATCTACTGACAATGCCGGTGAAACGCTTGGGAATATACCAAGACAATTGTCTAAAAGTGGAAATCACGGATGCTTTGGCAGAAGACGCATGTCTAGGTACGTTCAACAAGGTCACCTTTGTGCTAAGACCAAGTTGCGAAAACAATGTCAAACCGAAACTATTAAGCTAAAGGATACTACGACCAAACGGTAGGCTACACTATCTTGGTCTTCATTTCTACCGAATAACTTTGTCACTTTAAGACGAGTTAGGCAGTCATGGTGCTAGTAAGTCCTGTTCGAGGTCCTATACGAGGTCGAAATTTCAGTTCAGGCAGGAGAGAAAAAACTTGTTGGAGGCAAGTCAATGTGAAGTGACCTGGTATCAGGTGGTCTACTTATAGTAATCTGGGGAAACACCATATCAGTACCTTGATAATTCAAGATCACTCAGGGCTACTAAGCTGCCACCTCACAGCAATGCCTGTATTTTGGTATCGTAGCCAAAGGGCGGAAGTAGGGAACGAAGTGAACATGACTTGGCTGACCTACTCTAATGTCTAAAAAGAAGATAGTGTTAGGTCTTGTGTACAGCCAAGTCGCGATTAATACGAGTTCGAATAGGATGAGCTTTGATTTAGTACGAACTATAAATTGACACCAAACCGCATGTAATACAAGCAAAAATCCAGCTAGTGGTGTTTAGGCTTACAGGGCGGCGGAGCAGACGCATCAGTTGTCGTTAAACTGTTGCCCTTTAAGCATGGGTTGAGCTTGTCATGCAATCCAGTTTTATACGTACAGTAAAGTATAATTTAAATGATCTAGCATACCTTGGTAATTATGGCAAAGGGAAGAATACAAAAGTGAATATTGTATGCGAAAAAAATAAGCGATTGAGGATTAGATTATAATAAAAATGTTATTTTATATAAAAGCACAAACGTGGAGATAGCAATTCTAAAATTGGTAGGCATGTTGGAATGCATGAATAAGCGGTATGAAATATTTTAAACGGGCAGACGAAATAATGGAAAAAAGTAAAGCGACTTCCTCGATGGATAGAAGTATTACAGTGATAGAATTGTATTAAATGCAAAAATAATATTTTACCAGCAAACACATTTCTTTTGCAATCGCAATATGTAAGGCAATCTACTTAAGAGGAACTTTTGCACAAGTAATATCTCAAACTACAGGTGATGATTACGGGTGGATTTAAGAGACTAGAATTAGATCTGTTATAGGAGCTGTATTCAGATTACGAAGGACTGGTAGTTATACTTTCCCTCAATCGTTTGAGTAGGCCTGATGTAACCATTGAATTTTCCATAGCCTTGTTTGAACTAGAGTATCGACTTGGGTAAACGTGGTAGCCTGTCGAAAATAAATTCTGCATTTTATGTGTTAGATTACCGTTGGGGAAGAACTGAAATTTTAGTTCGGTCCAGTCTGGAAGCGAATACCTGCTGAGAAGCAGGGGCTGTGAAATTCAGTGGAAATGTGAGATTGTGGGAAAATTATACCACCATTCTTGCATCACCTTAAACGAATTAAGGTGAATGCAGCTTTTATGACAAATGATGATGCAATGTATTGCTTTGACTATAATAAACCTTTAGATTTGCTGCTTTGGGATTATCCTTACCTGTTCTATTAAGTTAAGGAGGGGAGGAAAAATTGTACAATTAAAAATGAATATTAGGCATTTTTAGTGGGATCGAACGAATCACATGACTTTCTATGCTATAATCACATTGAAGAGTACGACATTTACATGGGACCAATTTCTTGTACTAATCGCGACCTGCTCGCGCCATGAAAGCCTGAGCGTCTGACGACTCTTTGAAAAAGCAGGTTTTTGGCAAAAGCTTCGGCTTACCTACGCGTATTCTTTCTGTAATAAGCGAAATTTGACATTATCCAACTGTATATCTCGTTGAGTGTGATTTGCTTGGCCAGCTTCGAGTTCATTGCCGACACAATCAGGGTGATGTAGGAGAAGGGTGGTTTTGCGTGCAGATCCATGCCATGTCGTGACCAAGGATCGGCTGAAGCTGTCGCTGTTGCCTCTGCCATTTCAGCCCCATCACCACCAGCAGTACTACTGCTGCTACTGCTGCTGCTGCTACTGGCTAAATTGGCGGGAAGCAAACTCATGGGACGCACTTTGTCGAGCCAAGGGGCCGGAGGAGCCTCCGTCCGGCCGAGCATAGTCAGCTTGTCCGGATAGACGTCGAGTTGACCAATATTTGCAGAAGTCGGCGAGGCTAGTGGGGCTTTTATTGTTGCTCCCAGTGGTGATGGTGATGTTGTCGTTGACGTCATTGGGCCGAGTTGGGCCGAGGCGACATGACGAAAGTCGAGGCCTGATGCACAGCCCTCCATTCTTGAATCGGCAGCACGGCCCCTGTTGGCGAACATGTCGAAAGGCGACAATCCGAGGTGGGCGGACGAGGCAAACGGTCTCCCGAGAGGGCAACAGCAGACAACTGGTGTCGTCTTCGGCAGAGCCCCGAGCAACCACGGATGCTGCTGCTGGTGGTGGTGGTCAGATGCCGAGTTGTAGGTCGCTTGGCCGGGCAGAAGCGTCGAGTCCATACTGACGGTTGTCTGGACGACTGGCGTCGGGCCAGTTGACTCGCCGTCACTGCCATCAGTAGAAACTGTACAAAAGGTGGGCGGCTCAAATTGGTACCATGTGGCGGGAGGCTGTAGGGCTCCGGTCGCCAGGCGCCAAGGGGTCGTGACACCGTCGAGGCTGTCTGGGGTGTGATTAAGGCCGGTTGAGACGGAAGACGAGGACACACCAGTGGAGAGGCTTCTGACGGGCCAAAATCCAGAC